ATGCCCTGGACTGGAGGGGGAGGGGGGGTGTTGTTTTCTATTTTTTTTTGTACATTTGGAGGAATGAACGAATAAATGAACCCTTGCCCCCCACCCCCAGTTCCTGTGTGATGGTGGAACCAGGGAGCCTCTTGCGTGGAGAGCCAGTGTTACTGGCTTTGCCTTTAAGAGGGGCTACTGAGAGCTGCCTCTGTGGGAGTCCTAGGCTAAGTGAATGAAGTGCTCAAGCAGGAGAACCACTTCAAATAAGTGACTGTCAAGCCTCTTCCTGAAAACATCCATCAATGATTTCTGGTGGCCAGCTGTTCCACTGGTTAACAGTCCTCACTGTTAGGAAGCTTCTCTTTAATTCCAGGTTGCTTCTCTTCTTTTGATTAGTTTCCAATCGTTTCCTGTCCTGCCCTCTGGTGCCTTGGAGAATAATTTGACCCCCTCTTCTTTGTGGCATTACCTCAGATATTGGAATACTGCTATCATGACACCCCTAATTCTTTTCTCTAGAATACTCAAATCCTACAGCCTTTCTTCATACGTTTTAGTCTGCAAGGCCGTTGATCATCTTAGTTGCTCTTCTCTGAATTTTTTCCAAAGTCTCAACATCTTTTTGTAGTATGGTGACCAAACATGGTTGCAGTATTCCAGGTGTGGTCTTACTAGGGTTTTATAGTGGTAGGGAAAGAAAGTAAATTAAAATTGATGATGGGGCAGTCTCCTTAGCCATGTTTTTACCTTCTGAAATTGTTAAATGATTCATTGTGTGGAGTAGACTGAGAACCTACTCCTTTGAGGTATTGCACAAAGTAGGACTATTTGAACCTAAAATAAACTGAGTGCAAAACAGTTCATAAACAGTTTGCCACAGGTAGTCCTTATCAGTGAAGTATTAAACGTATGCAGTGAAGCTCCACAATGGCATTGCTTTAAAGGGGGTTGATCTGAGAAGATCATTGGCCCACAGGCACCTTGGCAGCTTTCTCTGACTGATCTGGGCCATACCTCTCCCTGGTTCTGGTGCATTAGCCTGACTGCAGAATAGGAACCAGCTCTGGATTCCCTCTTAATTGCCAGCAACGAGCCCACTCGGGCACTCCACCCCCAAATACATAGCAAAGCCACAAGGGTACTGCATTGTATGGACCAGGTTACGAGATTCAGCTGGACACAGCAATGTTGATTCCTAGGCTAATGAATTATCAAGGAAGTTAGGAAAGTTCTCTGCTTGGCTAGCTGCTGAAATTACCAGGGAACGGAAAGGTGGAGAACTACCCCAACATAAAGTTGCTGGAAGAAGCCCACCAGTATTTGTACAATTGATTTTACATGTCAATCCTCTGAAAATGGGAAAGAGCTCTTTTCTGGTGTCTGGGCCAAAAGAATATGAATAAAACAGTAATTCCAGGGCTATATTAAAATCAGCACCCAGCCTTGCATCTCCTTGTTCTTGGCTTTATTTCTGCTACCCCTTCTGTCCCTTTAGGCCCTTGTTGAGTGACAAGGGCCTAAATTAGTGGATCAGCAAAAATGTAGTGGACATAATATTCTTGGATTACAGTGAGTTATTTGACAAAGTAGACCACCACCTACTGTGATAAGCTAAACAAATGTGGGATAGACACCATCACCACCTTCATGTAACTACATTTACATTGAGGGAAGTAAGCAGGGCCTCCAGCAGTGGTTGGTTTTAGGTCCAATACTCTTCAATATTATAAACCATTGAAATGAGGGAACAGAAGATTTGCAGGTGACGCTATACAGGTAAGAATGGCCAACGCCCTAGAGGATTAAGGTTTAAATTCCAGGGGGATCTCGACAGTCTTGAACATTGGGCCCTATCTAACAAAATAAAATTTCCGCCTGGCAGCTCCTCCGGGCCCCGTTGCCACCTCCACCAAGCCCCCCCCGCCCGCCCGCCAGCCAGCCGGAAGCGGTAGCTGCCTCCACCGGAAGCCACGTCGCGACTTCCCTTTCTGAGCTCTGCGGGTGTTCCCAGCGCGCCGTGCCGGAAGTGCGTCATTGCGGAGGCGCGGGGTGATGGCGGCCGAGGGGGATGTCGAGCTGGAGCTGGAGGCCGAGCCCAACGGTTCTGCGGTCGGCGGGGATGGTGCTGGCGGGCGACCGGCCGAGAAGCCGCGGAAACACGACAGCGGCGCGGCGGACCTGGAGCGCGTGACCGACTACGCGGAGGAGAAAGAAATCCAGAGCTCCAACCTGGAAACGGTGCGGGCCGATGGGGAGGCGGGGAGGGTCCCAGCCCCGTCGGGCTTTCCCGCAGCCTCCGAGAAGCGCCCTGCCTGGCCGCCGGCCTTCCCGTTCCTTCTGTTCTCTTGGAATGGCCCGGACACAGCGGCCTTCGCGCCCGACTAGTCCCGCGCCGTTTCTTTTTCCTGGGGTGGGAGATTAGTTCACCCCCACCCCCACCCCGATTAATTTCAAGTTCTGTCCACATTCCCACACGCGAGAAGGTAACCATGTCTGTGCACCCACAGCGATGCAAAGGAGGTTAATTCATACATCGCGACGCACGATCTATTCCATAATTAAGCTTACACTTAATTTTCTACATCATCCCCGCACTCAAATTCATTTAATTTTATAGTGCCCAACTCAACTAATTCTCGGTAGCTTACAATTCTAGAATTATAAAACAATTTAAACAAAGCAATAAACCTAACTAAATTAGCACAAACACCTATGCTCTTCTGTATTTAATACATGATCTTTGCCATGTTCTCTTAATCATTATTTAGAAACTTATTACTGTTTTAGACAAACCTAAGTAATTTTTTCTAAATATGTAAATTATAAGACACAAGCATATGACCTAATCTGCAACCTTTTTTGTTTTACTAAATGCAGGAAGTGTTTTAGCCAGCTTAAATCTTTATCACATATATTTTAGGCTTCTGCTTCCAAACCTTACACATTTTAGGGTTATGCTGTTGCTCCAAAAATCTTTATCTGGAGTTTGGGATTTTGCTACCTATACAAATCTGCCCTTTCTAATTTACCTGATAAATCAGATTGGTTTTCTGGGGTACCTCTTACACAAGAATTCTGCAGAATAAAATTATGTTATTCTCTGACTCAGGTTTATTGAAACTCCTGCTGTGCATGGAGATTTCCCACTCTACCCTTCTGCAGTTTCAAGTGGTTCCACAATGAAAAATTGCTGAAAGAGTTCAAAGCATTTAAAAACCTTTTTGATGATGTGAAACTTTCAACAATGCCTGCTGCATAGTCTGTTTTTATATATGCAAACTTTTCTAAGTCTGAGCTTTCCTTTTGTTTTGATTTTCCTAGGCCATGTCAGTGATAGGTGATCGAAGATCTAGAGAGCAGAAAGCAAAACAGGAGCGGTGAGTTCCAAACTTCTGTTCCCAATGAGCAGCTTGGGGCTTATAGCAGTGGTGGGATTCAGCTAGTTCGTTTTGCGCAGTTCAGTGAACTGGCTGAATAGTGTGCTTCCCCTTTCCCCTCCCAGGCCTCTTGCCTATGGCTTTGTGGCACTTCTCATTGTAGCATTGAGTTCCTTCTCTTTTGAAATTCAGCATTCTTCAGATTAGCTGCTCGGGCTTGGCAGCCAGAATGCCACTGGTTCTCCGGCTGCCGAGCCTGAGCAACTGATCCAAAAAGTGCTGGGTTTCAAAAGCAAGGAGCTCAATGCTACAATAGCAGTCTCCCCATCTTCTAATGAATCCGTATTTGTGATCTCCAGAAACAGCAGAAAAAATCAGCTAATTGCTTTGCGGGTAGCCAAATTGGCAACACCACTGTCACATGACCACTCAGACACACCTACCCAGCCAGTCATTGGGGCAGAGAACCAGTTCTTAAATTATTTGAATCTCACCACTGGCTTACAGGTATAAAACTACAGAATTCAACTGCTTTTTCTAGGTGGAAATTATGGCTGAGTTTAAGGGTGATAGTGACCACATGAGCAAAAGAGTGAAATATTATTTCTCAGGCCTGTGCAAAACTTACCATTCTACATCACTCTACTTGTCTTGGCAGTAGTTGGAATACTCCGGAAGGTTGGCATGCCCTGAAGTTCTTTGAGAACTTTAGTGTCTTCGGCTTGGGTGGGGGATTGGACCAGAAGACCTGCAAGGTCCCTTCAACTGTGTTAATCTGTTAAACTGAGATGGGATGTTTTCTGTGTTTACTTTATATTACTTTATAATTTCCCTTCTACAGGTTTGCTTGTTTAAAATTCATTTGAAATTAACTTGGCATTAAATACTGATCTGCTCTTGTAGGTTGAGCTTACCTGCAATAGCTGAAATAAATCTGTTTTAATGTGTGGTTTGTTTTTTTGCTATTAGAAGACCAATTCTGGACTTTTTTGGATTCTGTTGTATAGGCAGTATTATTTCTGTTACGTTCCCTCTGGCATACTTATATGGGAAAGAAGGAACAGAAGGACTGTACTATTGTTTGGATGAATATAATCCCGAACCATTTCTCCTTATTGTAGAGAAAAAGAACTGGCAAAAGTCACCATCAAGAAAGAGGATCTGGAATTGATTGTAAGTCTAGCATAGAGCTAACAAGTTGGCTTGACTTTAACAGAGGAATTTGACATCTTAGAAAGGTCTGTGTGGATACCTGCAATGTGGATACCTGCTAAAAATTACCTTCTCTTTTTTCTTTTTAGATGAATGAGATGGAGATATCTAGGGCAGCAGCAGAACGCAGCTTACGAGAACACATGGGCAATGTGGTGGATGCACTTATCACTCTTACCAACTGAGAACTCTGCTAGGTGTATTTCTGTGGAGAAAGTAAAAAACACTTGGTGGGCCTTTTTATGCAGGTTATGCACTGTACGACACATTTTGAAGTTATTAAATAAAAGTGTGATTTTCTAACTTACTGTGTCTATATTGATCCAGATCAACCAGTTATCTTCCCCCAATTAACCAAAGTGTTGCTTTTAAATGGGGCCCTTCCTTCAAGAATTTTACTGAACATATTTTCTACATATGAAATTTTTAATAAAATGCAAAGAAAATCAGAAAAGGGCTATTGGATTCTTGTGATTGCGCTTTTTAGGTAAAGAGGAACATCTGGAGATAGGAAAAATAAACTTTATTCCAACTTTATCATTACTTGTACCCTTTTTAGTGGTGTTTTACTGAATTCAGTGGGGCCAGCTGTTCCATTTCCCAAACTGCAGCTATAAAATCAACCCTGGCACTGTGAGATCAACAGATTCCAAAATAAAAATGGAACAATACAATACAATCTGGAAAGTGAATTTTGTACAAGCTGTAATGCTATTTTATTTGCAAACAATCCTCTGATGCTGCCATTGTTCAATAAGAGCAGAACAAGGAGGGGGCTTTTTCCTGTTAGAAGACAAACCGGCTTCACGCAAGCACTAAAACGATGTTTGTATGATGTTCATATGGTTCATTTAGTAAATTATGGATCATTTAAGTTTGTCCCTCCTCACTATGTTAACAGTGTTCCTATAAAGAGCAGTTGTCTTTATTATAGTCGGTCAAAATTAGAAATGGGATTGCAAAAGATCTAAAGGAGAGTCTATTAAGCTGAACCAGCACCAGCTTAGTCAATTCAGGCCAATGAAACTATTTTGTGGTCCCTAGTAACAAAGCAGTTGAGCCAGAGCTAAAAGGGAACTGGATTATCCTTCCCACTCAAGTCACTTTCCGCTTCTTAGCAGAAGGTCTCTCAAAGACATCCCGCACGCCAGCTGCCTTCTGTTTGAAGAACTTCGTATTCTGGGCACTCTCCTGCCCCCAAGCAGAGTCAAAGGAAGTTGTGTCCTGGTCCACCAGGTGGGTATATTTAGTCCGTCCAGAACGCCCAAAGTTCTTCACCTGAATAGCAAAGAGAAGAAAGCGTGGGAAGGATTGAGATGAGGTCTCTGGAATCACTCACCTGGCCCTGACACTGCCGAGAGTGCTGGTTGGAGCCACAAAACTTATCCCGGCCCCAATCGGCAAGCGGACTCCTCCGTTTACCTGCATGACTTTAGGTAAGATTGTCTTGTTGAAGTGATCCTCTAGAGTTGGTGCACTGAAGTCCCTTTTGTATACATCCTCATCTTCATCCTGAAGAAGCAAGAGCACAGGGAAGTCAGAACTATTGGGGATAGGAAAAAGACCCCAACATGCCGGGTTTGCAGGGGATATAAAATCAATGGGGACAAAGCTGTTGTACAGAGGATGACAAAGGGCAGGTCTGCCTGTTGAACAGACATTTGATCCTCCTTCAGTTTTGGGGCAAAAGGCTTACCATGAAGAAGGCACCGCGGTGGTAATATTTCTGCAGGAACTTGTATTTGCCCTTCACAGCCTTATTGGTGATGACCTTGCCATTGGCTCGGAGCTCAGCCCGGCGTTCTTCCTCAGTCAAATTCCGTACCCGTTCAATCTCTGCTTTCTCCTTCTCCATCCTATAGAGAATAAAAAGCCTGCTTCAGCCACAGTCCCTCCCGAGGCACAACCAGTGACTTAGCAGCTTGCAGATGCCTCTGGCCACGAAAGGTTGCCAAGCAGCCATGGGCCTAGTTTTGTGTTTCTGACAGCAGAAAGGTTTTCTGTGAATATTTTTCTTTTAATGCCCCAAGAGTCAAATCACATTACGGGATTTACAACAGGCATCACTATTATGGCTCTTGACCAACTGCAGATTTAGCCTTATGCATATGAAGGCCTTTCACTGTTGCAGCCTGAAGAGATGGATACGGTGCTAGATAAAATCCTTGTGATTTCTCCCTTGCTATTCTTAGTTCATTACATTAGATGGGAAGTACCTGGATATTCTGAGAAAGCAGAAGATCCAACTTTGAAAGGGAACAATCAATAACCATGTCATGAAACTCTTCTACCCAGGATGCTGTTCTCTGGTATTGGAACCCTCTGCTCCTTTTTAATGCTCGCTTCCTTCCCAAGATGCTTAGGAGGGTCTGCCCTGTGATATCTGGCATTTGGTGCAGACTATGTTCAAGCCACATTGAATGAAGTAGCTTGATTGGGAGATCTTTCTCCCAAGCCAATTACCTAGGCTAACTCCCCACAGAACGTTTATACTTGCCATCCTTATTGCCAGAAATAAGATTTAGCAATTATTTCCAGTGCATGGAAGCAGCTCTGCTGTCCTTTTAGAGAAACCAAATAAATCTGCAGACTCTTGTGCAGTTTGACAAACTGACTTGTCATCTTTGCTGTTATACATTTGATAGAGTAATGATTCACTATTCTGCTAACTTAATCTATACAGTTGCATGTTTTTATGCTGTTTTCTAGCACATGGTGCACAAACTATCTTTTTCTCCCCTCCCTGTTTGATTCCATCAACCAGGGAATCTTTCACTTTGCAAAACATTTTGCTACCATTTGGAAAATCTATCCCAAAAGATGGTAGTGTGGACCAGCTCTTCAGCTCCATCTATGTTTATCTATGGAAACCTATAAAAAGAAAATCATAAAATGATGAATTTTGTTGAATGGAAATGATGTAGATTTGTAGTCATAATGTGGACTGAGTATGGGATGGCCACATCCGTGAACTGGAAGAATGATATTGTGTCGCACAACCTACAAAGAGATTAGTTTTTTTAATCATACCTGAAGAATTCTGACTGAAAGGTTAAAAGAGGTCACAATGAGCAAAATTTCAGAAGTTCAGTGTGGCTTTCGGCTGGGGGTATAGGCTAGATGCCTGATCTTCAATGAATTTCTGACAAACATATGAACTTGGGAAACTACATTCTCATTTGTTGAGTCAAATAAGTATGTAATGAAATGAACAGGTTCCATAGAACTGTAACATTCTTCAAGTCCACACCTTGCCCAAGGAATGAATCTGTGTATGACACGATGAGCACCATGGATCTGAAACGTAATTCATAAAATATCAAAGGGGATCAGAAAGGTGAGCAAAAGCACTTGTGCCAAAAAGGTGAAAGCAAGAGGAAGTGATTAATCTGGGTACCTCCTCTACTTACTAAAAAGGGGGAAATAGATAGGGAAATTTTAAAATGCGCAAATGATAAAATATTTGTTGTACAGTAGTTGAAAGAAGTAAATGTCTTCCATTTTACTACCTTAAAGGGAGTATTGGGTGTATCAGAAGAAAAATTATATTAACACGGTGGTCTCAATTGCAAATACAGCCAAGATATGATATAGATATGAAAAAGTGTGGTTTTATAAAGGACAAACACCGTTTGCTAAGATACTGTTGAACTCTGATGAAAAATTAATTAAGAAAATATATAAATTGTTAAATTTAAAAATGGAGAATGAACAAATAAAGGACACAATGGTACAATGGGGAAAAACTTTGGCTATAACATAGAATTAGAAAAATGGCAACATTTATGGGAAAGGAACTATAGATTAACAATAGCAACTTCTTAAAGGATAATAGGGAAACATGTAGATTTTAAACCTGAACTATTTTTATTAGGGATGATATCAAACAAATTTGATAAGACAAGTATGTATTTAGTATTAAATGTTTTAACTGCAGTATTATCTTTGCACAATATTGGAAAGATGAAAGATGAAGAAACACCTCAAAATGAAGAGATAAATAAGAAGATACTAGACTGTACTAGAAATGGACAGATCTATATTGAAAAATACATCTACAGAGGATGCTATAGCCATCACTCTTCACACTGCTCTGATTCATCTAGAACAACCCGGGGGGCGGGGGGGGGGCACTATGTGAGGATGCTTTTTGTGGATTTTAGTTCTGCATTTAACACAATTTTTCCACATAAGACTAGTGTCTAAACTTCTGGACCTTCGGCTTTCTTATTCAATCTGCCTTTGGATTATGGATTTCCTGTCTGGCCACTCACAGAGGGTCAGATTAGGTAATCATACCTCTTCAGCCCTTATTCTTAACACTGGTACACCACAGGTTTGCATGTTGAGTCCCTTACTCTATACTCTTTATGTGCATGACTGCATTCCCACTCATGCTAGTAATACTATTGCTAAATTTGCAGATGATACAATAGTGGTGGGATTTATTTTTTTTTTTTGGGGGGGGGGATGAGTCTGCCTACCGAGATGAGGTAGATCGGTTGCTTTCTTGGTGTAGAGACAATAACTTGATCTTCAGTACCAATAAGGCCAAGGAGCTTATAGTGGATTATAGAAGGAACAGATCAGACATCCAGCCCTTGCTTATCAATGGAATGGAGCAAGTGGCCAGTTTTAAGTTTCTGGGTGTTACCATCAAAGAGGACCTGACCTGGGGTGCCCACATTGCAGCCCTGGTCAAAAGGGCCCAGCAGAGATAATACTACCTGAAACTTCTCAGGAAACAAGAACTGAATGAAAAACTGCTGGTGCCCTTTTACCGCTGCACCATAGAGAGCATTTTAACCTACTGCACCTCTGTATGGTTTGCCAATTGCACAGTGGCAGATAGGAAAGCACTCCAGAGGGTTAACGTACTGCTCAGAAGATCACTGGTTGCCCATTCCCCTCTTTGGAAGAGCTTTATTTATAGCTCCCGCTGCCTTAAGAAAGTTCAAAACATTCTCAAAGATCCATCTCATCCTGGGAACCCTTTTTTTGAACTATTATCATCTGGCAGACGGTACAGAACATTAAAAACAAGGACAAATAGGCTGAAAAACAGCTTCTATCCCAGGGCAGTAGCTCTTTTGAATTCTACTATTCAAAATATATACTACATTTTTGCGTTCATCCAGGCATGAAGTAAAAAAGCTGGAACACACTTCCTCACTAGTCCAACACATGAAAGCCACAGGTCATAGCATCAACTTCAATGGCACCAAAACCCTAGCCACTATAGAAAACCACAGCCACAGAATTATCAGAGAAGCCATAGAGATTGAAAAAAGACCAGAAAGCATGAATAGAAGAGATGATTCCACCAGACTGTCAATCATTTGGAAGCCTGCACTCACAAACAAAAAAATTTCCACACCACAAGCCAGGCAAACACCTGGGCACAGACAGATCCCCCCTGATACCTCCAGCTCAAACACACCCCAACCAGACACCCAGATGAAACCTAACTTCCTAACTAATGATAGCCCTCCATTTACCCGGAGCCAAGCTGCACTAAAGGCCTCCAATAAAGTAACACAATGTTGCCAGCCAATCAAGCGACAAAAAGAGCCCAAAAACAGACAGGAGATATTAGAAACACCAATCAAGCAGAACACAGCAAACTCCAAGACCAATAAACACAGACCAAGACTCCCAACCAATCAGGGTGAAGAAAAAACCATTCTGGCACAGCAATAAGCTGCCCCAAATTTAAATCTGAAACCACTATAAAAGCCTGACTCACAGATGAACACTATACAGAAGCCTGATGATGGCAGATGAGATTCTGCTGAAATGTCGCTACAACTTTAAAAGCACAACTACTATGACGTGGGAAAATACCCAAACAAAGCCGAATGCCATACATGTAAGTACCTGCGAAAACGTTTTATATATATATATATATATGTATGTATATATGTATGTATATGTATGTATATGTATGTATATATACATACACACACATACATATATGTATGTATATGAATTATGTGGAATGAATTTATATGTTTACTTCTCTTCTGTCATATTCTCACTGCTAAATAAATATCTGAAGTAATAATGTGGATGGGGTAGGTATTCTCAGTATTATTGTTCCATCTACTCTAGAAGAATAAAGAATGTGTTTAATTACAAGGAATTGGTTAGAAAACTTCATACTGATCAGCTGTTTGGCACTGGAACAAGCTATTTTGGGAGGTGCTAGAGCTGCTTACAAAGCTGCTTCCATCAGAAAACTGTAGCATTGGAATCCCATACTGGGAAGAGGGCTGGATTAAAAAAAATCAGGCACAGTAAATAACTTGGCATCAACAATCATCCTCTTTTACCTCCTCTTGTGAGGATAGGTTTTAACTTTTTACTCAATCAAGGCTCCATCTGATTATACTTACGCTTCACGTTCCTCACGGTCTCGCTTGATTCGCTTTAATTCTCGCACTTTCCAAGCTTCATACTCTTCTTCATCATTCTCATCATCCGTATCCAAAGCATCAAGGGCTGCCAAAGAACGCCTGTTTTCCTCCAATTCCTTCTTGGCTTCTTCTTCTACAATCTGCACCAAGACAAATTCCTTGTGTGTCCAACCACACTTGGCCAATAAAGAATTCTATTCTATTTTCTATCTTATTCTATTCTATTTCTATTCTATTGTATTCTATTTCTATTCTATTTTCTATCTTATTTTATTCTATCTTTATTCTATTGTATTCTAGTTCTATTCCTATTCTATTTCTATTCCCATTTCTATTCCTATTCCTATTCTATTTCTATTCCTATTCTATTTCTATTCCCATTCTATTCTATTAAGAGTAAGCCTCCTGAAGGACCACGTTCCTTATCTCTCAGTCACATGCTCTTCCTTTCCCAGTACCTTCAGGGTGTACTTGCGCCTCTCTTCAGCCATACGTTTCGCCTCTTGCTCCAGTTCTTTCTGTTTCAGTGCCTCTGCTTCTCGTTCCTGGACTGTGATTCGATCCTTTCTGCAACAGATATTTGTGCCAAGTTGGATAATATCCAAATTAAATCTTTTCTAGAAGAAAACTTTATTAGACTTCACATCCATTGCTACAAGAAAAATGCCTTGGAAGCTACCCAAAGTGGAGCTGTAATTGTGTGCCACCAATATTTTAAAAGAAAAGCTGTGAATACCACTCAGGCTCAAGAGATCAATGCCCACTGCCACTTCCTCCCCTTCTTTTTCTTAACTAATGGAACTTGCTTGCGAATGAAGACAGGTTTAAGACGTGGTTCAGTTTCATCTTCACTATCTGTATACTCCTCATATTCAGACTCAGTTTCAGACTCCTCCCCAGAACGGCCTTCATCTTCCAGTTCCATCACTTCCAACTCCTCATTCTTGCGTTCCTGAGCACGTTGGCGCATCATATTACGTCGACGCTCAATTTCCTGTTAAGGAAAGGGAAAAGGTTATATGTGTACATGCACCCCCTACCCCATTCCAACCTGTCAGGTATCAATTTATGGCTAGATTAAAATTACACAGGTATAGGGCCTTTACATGTTAAATGGTCCAGTTCCAACTCTTGGAATCTCTAGCAAAAACTGAGGAAAAAGGGACAAGATTCTAGATGCTCCCAATCAGAACCCTGGACTACTGGATACACTGCAAAATATTCCCCCGCATTTCTAAATTCAGGAGGGCTCATTGCTGCTGCTCCTACAGAAGCAGAGTTTTCCCAAGGAACCTCCAGAATTTGCTCAAAGATGCAGTCCACCCCAAACGCCACACCTGGCTCTTCCGCCTGCACATACCTCATCGTCCACCTCTTCCTCTTCCTCCTCACTGGTGTCCTCACGCTCCACGTGCCAGGCTTCACCCTCCACTTCAGAATCGCTCTCCCCCACCACTTCTGGCTCCACAATCTTGCGGTGCCTTGCCAGCCTGGAAGACAAAGGCTGTTTTCCTCCCTCTGTTGGGCCACAAAAAAGCCTCCAGGTTTGGCCCAGGTAGACTGGCTGCCACTCACCTCTCTTCCACATCCTCGCTGACTCGGTTCTGCAGGCGGCGCAGCCGGGGGTCGCTGGCCAGCTCCTCCTCCTGCTCCTCGGGCTCCAGCTCCTGCTCCTTGGCCTTCTTGATGAACTGGAACTCCTCGTCTTCCTCGTCGGAGGACTCCATGGGCGCATAGTCGGGGCGCTTCCCCGAGACGTACCGCTTCACCTTCACCTTCTCCATGGAAATCTCCCCTGGAAGAGGCGGGCGGGGTTCAGGCTTTCCAGCTGAGACCAGCACCCCCTCTTCCTTCCCCTCCGCCTCTCCCCGCAGAGGACCCGCCGTGGACTTCTGCCCCCTCCTCACCTTTCTCGTTGCGGACTGGCACGGCCCCCGCCGTGGACTGGATCGGGGGCTGCTTCATGAGGGCGCTGCTGGAGCCCGACATGGTGACGGTGGGCGGCGAGGCCGGGAAGCCGCTACAGGAAGGACGGCTGCTCGTCCGCCGCGCGTAAACACCGGACTGACGGGAGACGGTCTTCCACTTCCGGCTGCTCTCGCCCGCTTCCGCTTCCGGCGCGCCGGGGCCCGTGGGGGCGGGCCCTCAGCGACCTTCCGTTGAAGCTGCGCCTGCGCACTTTCTTCCGAGGGAGAGGGGACGGTGGCTTCCTATGAAGCGGCTTAAGCGAGGTCGCTGGTGGGGCCCTCGGCCGTTTGGGTCCCTCCAGCAGCAGCAGACCCCGAAAGCTCCGGGGTGCCGCTCCGGCTTTCAAGTCCGGATGCCAAACTCGCGTACTGGGGTAAGAGGGAATGGAAGCGCCTAAACCCCGGCGGGGAGGTTTGCCGCCTCTACTCGGCGGGAGGATCGTTGCGTGGATGGGACCGCCGGTCGGTTGCGAAGGAGCAAGCGGGACTCTCTCCGACCGAAAAAAGGAGGATTTATCCAACAACAGTGAATACCAATCTGGAAACAGCGGCCCGTATGGTTCCAGGGAATAATAAAGTATACTTGGCAAGGAAGAGTGCAGCAATCCGCACGAAACATTTCCTATTTCAAGTGGTTCCAATTCCAAACCCAACCAGGTATTTCATGGCTAGCATGGGCTAGTAAGGAGTCGTATATAACCCGGCAAAGATTAAATTCAAGAATTTCCAAGATTCAAAAGAGCAAGTTCCCCCTCCTCCCCCTCTCCAGTTTTAATTTCTACCTGCCTAAAAATGGATTTTTAGGAGCGTGGATTATATTTCGGTTCCATCACCTTGATGGAAGGGCCAGGCCTACCAGAAGGGCTGCAGAGGTATTTGGGTGGGTGGCTTTTTTCTTGAAACTAATATATTGAAACTATTTAGCAACTCATTAAAAGTTTGGGATAAATAAAAAAGGAATAAGTCCATGTCTCTTTTCTTGCTTTCTTGTTAAATGTCTATTTTTATGAGGAAGGACTAAGAAATTTGCTCGGTGCAGACACAATAATCCATTTAGATTACAGTATTAATAGAGCAAAATTAAGATCTCTCCAGTCACATGCTACACAATGCTATTCCAACTTTGTAAGAATGCTGTGTGAACTGAAAGAAATATTGAAAACAGTTGAATCGCTCAGTGTAAAAACTTAAGATGGTTTCTTTAAAAAAAAATCCTGTCCTTTGGTTGGCTGTGGTGCTGGGACTGAACGGGCGGAACGGACTTTCTTCATCATACACTTTTAAACAAACATATTTCCAAAGTAGAACTGTGTTTCTATTATTTAGTGTTAAGGAAAATATACCATTAGCCAAATTTTCTGCAATTGTGTATTTAATGGGCTTTACCTGTTCTTTTGGTCCCAGAGAAAAACAAAAGAGCCATTTCTGAATGCTGCTATTTTACCAGTATTTGGTGGAAGATCTCCAAACTTTTGAACAAAGATTAATAGGTTTACAGAGTTGGAAGGGACTTTGTAGGTCATCTAATTCGACCCCGCCCAAGCAGGAGACCCTTCACCATTTCTGACAGGTGGCACTCCAGTCTCATCTTAAAAGCCTTCAATGAAGGTAGTTCCATTGGTTGATTGTTCTTTTTTTTTTTTTGATAAAAATTTTATTTGGGTTTTCACAAAACAATACAAGTAAAATTTCTTCTTTTTTTTTGAGAATAGCATGGTCCCGGGTTATCACTTCTCCATACAGACACAAATTCAATTTCATATTCATCTTTGTGTTCTATTCCATATCTTATTACTATTTTAACATTTTCTCAATTTTTCCCTTCCCTTAGTTATCTCAATCTTACTTTTAATTATCTCATTCCTTTCTAAATTCAATTATATATATCTTTTTCTAAGTTTCAATACCTTTCTAGTCATCATATTTATACTTTTGTCTGTCCTGTTTCAATTTCATATTTTCTTTTCTCATTAAACAATTTTTTCCCTGTAGTTACTAATTGGAGTATGACACCTTTGTATCTTTTAATTTTTATCCATTCCGCTCTTATTTAAATTTATGCCTTTACAATTATAACATTCAATATAACACATAACTTCCAGTCGAATTCTGCTTGGTACATTCTTAAAATATGCACTAAGTTCTTAAAGAGAAAATACATCTATAACAATAATAAATAAAATACGTATTCTATTTCAATTCAGCTCTATCATTAATGTTAGTTATAACCTTTGACATCTTTAACATTTATTTTCAATAGGATATCATACTTCTAGGAACACTTATAATATTTCCATAATTTTTTCATGTTTCTTTCATATTCCTCTTCACTTAAATTTTTATAACACATTTATAATAATTAAAATGTTCCCCTCCTTTCCTAATTTCATTCTCTCATTCTCTTTATTTCATTTATTTATTAAACATTCCATTACATTACAATGAATATTTATCATTTTAATCACACTTGTTTCATATTTTCAAAGTTCATTTCTATTTCTAATATAACAATACTATCTTATGTACCCTTGCAGAATCCCCCTTCCAATTAAGCTTTCACCCATCTCTGTGTCTTCTAAATAGGCTTATACCCTTAATCCTTGTACATTTTCCCTGTTTCTCTATGTCCTGTTTCTGTCCTTTATAATTTCTTTTCCTTTCCCTCTTCTCCCTCTTCTCCCTCCTGACCTCTTCTCTCTCTGATTCTGATTCTCTCTTCTGTAATCCTCTCTTCTGTTTCTTCCTAATGTTGTAATTAATTTTCAAACTATTCTTTGAGTTGTTTTTTCAGATCCTAAATTTTTCACTCTCTTTCCCCACTTTCCTTTCTTTTTCCCCACATAGAAATACTTGGTCATTGAAGATGGGTTCTTCTTTGTCCCGCCCTTCTTGTTCTACAGGCATTTCTTGTTGTTTCTCATAGTTCAGGATCTCTTCCTTCTTGTGCATCTTTCTGTTTTTAAGTTCCATTCTCAATTCTTCCAAGAGTGGTACCATTTTAAAAACTTTTAAACAACCACCCGATTAATTTTAGTCTTTTAAATCCAATAGCCAAAAATCCAAAAATCACCAAGTAATCCAAATAATCCAAATAATCCAAAGCTGTTTCTTCTTGCTTCTTTTTTCTACTTTCTCTTCCTGGGGTTCTCTTGTTACAAAGTTTCAGTTAAACTGTATCTTTTAGGAATCTTGTTAAAGTTTCACTGTTAATTCCTTTCACTTCCAGGTGGTCTCCATTTTTCCAGATCCCACCCTTTTGTTTTTTTTCCTTCTTTTAAAAGTTTTTGAGAATCCAGAAATCTTTATTATCTCTTTGACATTTTATTTTCAGCTTAAATACCTGTTAATGTCAAAGTGGGTTTCTGCCGGTTTCTTGCTTAAATCTCTTAGTTGTCAATATAGGGAAGAAAAAAAAAAAAACCAAATCCTTTCCCTTCCCTCTCTCATTCGCTGCTTCAAAGTCTTCTTTGGGAACAATGTTGTTCTTTATAATTCAAATTACACGGTACCTTGTATTGTTGTTTTTCCAGTTCGACCCGGTCAGCCAAAACTTTCTCTTCTTATCTTCCTCCTGCACATTCTTTTCCAGTCGAGTTCTTTTTTGAGGTGGCCATTTCTGACCACCGCTGCAACCGCCTTCGGGAAAGGGAGTAAGGCCAGCTGGGGAGGAGAGATGCGACTCTCCTCGACCCTTCTGGCAGTCTCCCCCCTCTTCGCCACCTCTACAGGGTGGCTTATCCCCGAAACCAGATGGCTTGGGGTGCTCCAGCGGTGAGCACAGATTGAAACTGCGCACGATCGCAGATTTCAATCTGTTACCGAAGAAGCTCAAACCTGAATGGTTGATTGTTCTTATTGTCAGAATGTTTCTCCCTATTTCTAGGTTGAATCTCTCCTTGATCAGTTTCTATTCATTATTCCTTGTCCTGCCTTCAGGTGCTTTGGAAAATGGCTTGACCCCCCTCCTCCTCTCTGGGACAACCCCTCAAATATTGGAAGCCTGCTATCATGTCTCCCCTAGTCCTCTTCATTAGACTAGCCAGGCCCAGTTCCTGCAACCGTTCATCGTATGTTTTAGCCTCCAGTCCCCTCATCATCTTGGTTGCTCTTCTCTGCATTTTTTCTCAACATCTTTTTTACTGTGTGACCAAATCTCAGATGTCCAAGAGGTTCCAAAGACACCTTTCAAATTAGGCTTTTTTCTACTCAACTTGAAACAAAACACATTTTTTGTTTGTGCGCACCCAAGTAAGTTTCACAATTGTCTCAATAGAATGAGATAAATGAAAGGCAGAGAGAGAAGCATATTCCAAAAATGAGATATATAGAAGCTTAGTAAAACAAAAGCAGGAGATGGAAGCCCCATGTATCAGTCCTTTCAGATTATTGCTTATTGCTTAAAAACCTAGGCCTGTTTAGAGAAATGGTATCAGCATTTCTAATATTCAGTTTCCTGCCAGAAGTTCTTTTCTCAATTGCTCACACACTTACTTTATTTGATATGGGCAGGTTCGCCTTCCCTGATATAGCCAGAATGCAAAAGCGTTTCATCCCACAATAGGAGAGTTTATGGCTCAGGATGTTGTGGGAACCTAGCCATTATTTTAGTATGTGTGAAGTAAGCCATCACGAGAAGCCAGACTTAGTGGCTTGGACACAGACTACCAGGTAGGTGCCAAGTTGGCCTGCTGTAATACAGGTCTATCTGGCTCTGTAGGTAGATTTCTGACCTGGTATTGGTGAGGGGAAGAGAATAACTACCCACCTGCTGGGTTAGAGCAGAGATCAGTGTCTATCTTTTTAACAACCAGCTTTGCTTTGTTAATGGGTGTTTCCAGCATAAGGAGCAGATGACAGTGCTCAGCAGGCGAGAGACAGGCCACTTCCTGTGTGGTATTCATTCGTAGCAGCGCCTGGGACCTAACCTGCTATGAGTGTGTGTTTGTGGTATGAAGCCCTCACCTTGCCAGGTGCCATGATTTCCAATATCAAATGACTTGGTTCTGTTTCTAGGCCAAGCGATGATTTCCTGTTGGGCGGGGGCTTTGTTCAGAGACTACCTAGTTGCTTGTAAACCACGTCAAGAAGCTCACAGAGTAAGTATTTCCAAGCTCTTAAGAAGTAAAAGATGCTAATAA